GGCAGGGAGGGAGGGCACGGTCCCATCTGCATGGGGAGGAACAGTGGTCAGAGGGCAGGGAGGGAGGGCACGGTCCCATCTGCATGGGGAGGAATGGTGGTCAGAGGGCAGGAAGGGAGGGCAGGGTCCCATCTGCATGGGGAGGAACGGTGGTCAGATGGCAGGGAGGGAGGGCACGGCCCCATCTGCATGGGGAGAAACGGTGGTCAGATGGCAGGGAGGGAGGGCAGTGGCCTTTGAGGCAGGGATTGATGGATGGAAGTATGGTTTTCCAACTCACTTGTTTAGGGAAGAAATGCTAAAGTGTCAAGGAAGAATACAAGAACAAGGCACACGGCCCTGAGGAGCCAAGTGTGAGCCCTCTTTCAGAGTGTCTGGAATGTCTGGCTTCAGGACTCTGCATTCTTTGGATGTTGCAACCTCCTGGCTTCCTCAGCCTGCTGTGGGTCTGGATATTCTGTAATGTTTTTAAAATGCATGGTATGATACAGCATATAGTTGGTGTTTAATAAATGATATCTACTATAATGGTGGCGCAGTGGTTAAGAGCTTGGCTACTAACCAAAAGGTCAGCAGTTCAAATCCACCAGCTGCTCCTTGGAAACCCTATGGGGCAGTTCTATCCTGTCCTGTAGGGTCGCTATGAGTCAGAATCGACTCAATAGTAATGGGTTTGATTTGGTTTTGGTGCTCTAAGAAAAGGAGCTCTGGTGGTGCAATGGTTAAGCACTCAGCTCTTAACCAAAAGGTCAGTGATTTGAATCCACCAGCCGCTCCATGGGACTAAGGACCTGGCAATCTGCTCCTGTAACGATTACAGCCTAGGAAACCCAATGCGGCAGTTCTGCTCTGTCCTATAGGGTCCCTATGAGTCTGAATTAATTTGACAGCACACAACAATAACAACACTGTAAGAAATACAACCAGAATGTTCCTTAGAAGTGAGGATGGTGAGACTCTGACTTATTTATTTTAGACATGTCATTGGGAAAGACCAATTGCTAGAAAAGGACATCATGGGTGATAAAGTAGAGGGTTACTGAAAACAAAGGAAATGGATGAGATGGATTGACACAATATCTAAAACAAGGGACTCAGACATACCAATGATGGTGCAGGACCGGACAACATTTTGTTCTGTTGTACATGGGGTCACCATGACTTGGAGTCAACTTGATGGCAACTAACAACAACTATAAGTAATTATTAATGTAGCCATGACATTGTGCAATCAAGGCAGGAATGAAAATGCTCCAACTCCAATCCTGCTGAAACACAGGTGATCTGCACCAGCCAGGCATTGTGGAGATTCACTTACACCTGCCAGCAAAACTTCTTTTCAGGAAGTGAACCCAATTATTCTCAGCAGCCCAAGACCATCCTTGCTGTCCTACTTGGTCCACATTTGCTGAGCTCAGAGCCCACAGAGGCCTGAAGAACTCAACACATGTTAGTCTGGGTCCTCTGAGAAGCAGATGCCAAGGCAGGATTAAATGTGGAAGGATTTAATTTCTCTGTGGGAGAAAATGAGGAGAGAGCTCTATAAGGCTGGGAGAGTCATCAGACCACCATGCAGGCCTGACCCTGAGTGAAGGAAAGAGGGAGGGAAGGTGGACAGGCATGTCCTAGACTGCATGCAGCCTAAGGAAGATTCAACAAGGCCATTGGGAAGTCCTCAAGCCAAAGTCGACTAGCTTTCAGAAGACAGGAATAAACCTGCCTTAGTATCTCTGCCAGGCCCAGTCATTGGCATGTGGCTTCAGTGTAAAAGCAACCGTGGACTTCAGAGCATAGCAGCTGGGACCATGGTCAATTACACCTCTATAGTTGAAGGTCTGCAAGGCACATTGTTATAGCAGCCATAATATATTTTCTGTAAGAGACTCTGCCCAGGGGGAAGTATGACTGAGGTAGGTGGCAAAAAAAATAAAATAAAAAATAGCTACACATTCTTTCTTGCCTGTGTATACACCTTTTTGCAGTGTGATTTGGCTATTCCTCCCATAAAGAGGTAGGGTCTATCATTCTATTCCTTGAAACTGGGCTTGACCACATGTGAAGTAAAGAACTCAACTTTACCCAAAGAATTTGGTCTTTGTCCTTGGTTTCTGAGAGATAGCCTCTAAAACCTGAGCATTTCCCCAGTGACTGAAGTGTCTTTCTTATCTAAGAGGGCTCCGGACTTGACAGGTTATGCTAATGAGGTGACCCAGGTGGGGCCAGAAAGACCCACTATGTGGTATCAGCCAAATTCAGGGGAGGGGGGCATGATTCAATCATGCCTATGTAATGAGGCCCAAGTAAAAGCTCTGGGCTTCCTGACTGGTAATAGACATCAATGCATGTGGGAGGGTGGTGCATCCCTTTTTGGGACATGGAAACTTCACCTTGTCCTGTGTGTCTCTTCGCTTGTATCTTTTTCTCTATAATAAAGCTGTAATCCTAAATATAGCACCATCATGGATTGAATTGTGTCCCCCCAAAATGTGTGTCAACTTGGTTAGACTGTGATTCCCAGTATTGTGTGATTGTCCACCATTCTGTTATCTGATGTGATTTTCCTGTGTTGTAAATCCTACCTCTATGATGTTAATGAGGCAGGATTAGAGGCAGTTATGTTAATGAGGCAGGACTTAATCTATAAGATTAGGCTGTATTTTGAGTCAGTCTCTTTTGAGATATAGAAGAGAGACTCAAGCAGAGAGACAGGGGGACTTCCTACCTCCAAGAAAGCAGAGCTGGGAGTGGAGCGCATCCTTTGGACCCAGGATCCCTATGCTGAGACGCTCCTAGACCAGGGGAAGATTGATGACAAGGACCTTCCCCCAGAACCAACAGGGAGAGAAAGCCTTCTCTTAGAGTTGGCACCCTATATTTGGACTTCTACCCTCCTAAACTGTGAAAGAATAAATTTCTCTTTGTTAAAGCCATCCACTTGTGGTATTTCTGTTATAGCAGCACTAGATGACGAAGACAAGCACTTTCCATGAGCTCTGTGAGTCATTTTGGTGAATTATTGAACCTGAACGAGTAGTGGAAGCCAGCAGGTCAGAAGTGAGGGTAGTCTAGAAACCCCTGAGTTTATGGCTGGTATCCCGAGGAGGTACTGGAAATCCCCAGATTTGTAGGCAGCAGGTTAGAGGTGAGGGTGTTTAGGGACCCCCAAGCTTGTGGCTGGTATCTTAGGTTTGGGGAAGAGTTGGCAGTCTGGAGAACTGTGCCCTTTAACTTGTGAGATCTGACCAACCTCTGGGTCAGAGGGAGAAGTGCTGCATAAGCAGCTGGTGTCAGAACAGAAGTGGAACAGAAGGGAACAGAATTGATAGTAAATTGATTTGGATTGATTAACACATCGAGTAGCAGAGAAGTGGGATTTGATTATCCTCCCACCACATTAATTGCTTTGGCCTGTGGAACATTCACAAATGCAGTACAGCAGAGACTTGCACAGTGCTTGCATGTTGGAACTTGCCTTCTCTTGCCACTTTTGGAGCCCTGTGATCTCCATGTGAAGAGCCAGAGCTAGCCTAGTGGAGGATAAGAGACAACATAAAGCAGAGACCAACCACCATCCCATCACCAGACATGTAAGTGAGGTCTTTCTGGACTACCCAGCCCCCACCATGCTACCAGATGACCAAAAAGACCAGCCAGGTCAGACTAGCATCGAAAGAACTGCCAGATAACTCATAGTATTTTGAGAAAAAGGAGACCTGGTGGCACAATGGTTAAGCGCTCTGCTGCTAACGGAAAGGTCAGTGGTTTGAACCCATCAGCTGTGCTCTGCAGGAGAAAAGACCTGGAGATCTGCTTCCATAAAGATTACAGCCTAGGAAACCCTATGGGGCAGTTCTACTCTGTCATAAAGGGTCACTATGAGTCAGAATCAACTCGATGGCACAGAACAACAACATTGTAAGAAATAATAAATTCTTGTTGTTTTAAGGCACTGTTTTGGGCTGGTTTGTTATCAGGCAGAAGCTCACTGATATGATTTATGTCCATTTTATATATGGAGATACTGAAGACTGGAGACATGATACCAAAAAAGAAAAAACCCAAACCCATTGCCGTTGAGTTGATTCCGACTCATAGTGACCCTATAGGACAGAGTAGAACTGCCCACATAGAGTTTCCAAGGAGTGCCTGGTGGATTCAAACTGCCAACCTTTTGGTTAGCAGCCGTAGCACTTAACCACTACACCACCAGGGTTTCCAAGGAGACATGATAAAGGCCCTCAAAATGAATTACAGCCTGAAGGTATTACTCAGTTCCCTCAGCTGGACCAGAAGGCTCTAAGTCTGGGGACAGCTTCACTCGTTTGTGTTATTTGCCTAGTTCAACCCTTAATAAACTTTATTGAATGAATGATACCAAGGGGTTAAGAAATCCTTCCGTGCCATTAAAGCCATTAGAACACAAGTTGAGGAACCTAATCTTCAAAGCGCGGGTGCTGACAGGTGTAGGGCTACAGGGATTTTCTCTAACCAGATTATAAACTTCTGCAGGCAGGCCTCAAATTTATGTTTCTCTTATGCTTTTCTTCACTACTGCCCTAGTCTCACAAACTGTCACTCATCCATTCAACAAATATTTATTGAGTGCCTACTCTGTTCTGAGAGAAAGCAGTCAAAACTCCCTGCCCTCATGGAATTTACCTTCTAGGGGAGCAACAGACAATAAACAAGATAAATAAGTAAAATATGTAGCATATTGGAAAATGATAAGTGCTAAAAATTAAAAACAAAGATGGAAACAGGAGAGGAAGCAACAAGCAGGGGTTGTTGACATTTTAGATAAGGTAGCCAGGGAAGGTCTAACTGAGGTGACATTTGATTAGAGACTAAAGAAAGCAAAAGAGTGAGCCATATGGCTATTTGTGGGAAGAGCATTCCATAGCAAGTGCAAAGACCCCGAGGCCGGAGCTGGGTGGTGGTCAAGGAACACCAGGAGGCCAGAGTCATGGAGCAGACTGAGCAAGAAAAGTTAGTAGAGATGAGGTCAGAGAGGCAGTGGGAGGAGGGGGAGACATCATGTAGAATCCCATGGATCAAGGTTAGGACTTGAGTGAAACGAAAAACCGTTTGGGACCTGAGAGAGAGAATGACTTGATGTAATGTTTTAACAGGATCCCTCTGGCTGCAGGGTTAAGAATAGTCTACAAGGAGGCAAGGGCAAAGTGAGGGTGACCAGCTGGGAAGTCATTGTAATAGCCAGGAGTTTGCTTTGAATTGAAATTAAAATAGGAGTGACCAGGCTAAGATAGAAGCAATATTCAATCAACATGTGTTGGGGGGAAAATATTGAATCGTCTCTTTCCACCAGCATTATGGTGCCTGAAAGAGCAGCCAAGGGGACTCAGCTCCTGGACCTGAACAAGTCCTGCCTTGATAATGACAGCGAGGCACCAAATAACAGATTCAACTTCACCACGCCATCTGGAGTGGAGAGCAGCAGCAGATTTTTACAGGATCCAGCTGGCTCTGGAAAGATTGTGGTCAGTGAACGGTCATTGCGTCATTTAAAGGGCAACAGGGAAACTGGTCTAACATGCGTAGTGCATTTGCTGCCCTACAGAGAGAAATTTCCAAGGTAACCTCCCCTCAGAGTGGCTGTAACCGACAAACTTAATAGTGACTCTGCTTTTACCATTTGCTCTTTATTTTACCCAGGTTCCAGGACTTGTTATGCACAATTGTGCCTGGGGTGCTAAGGACTGGATTCTTTCTTGCATGGTTCACAGTTTGCACGCCTGTTTAGTGTGCCTCTGCAGTCACATTAGTGCCCTCTAGGCTTAAGCACTTTTGTTTATTTGAGTGCTCATTCCTGGCCCATAAAGGGGTGAGGTACGAGAAAGCAGGGCCAGGACCATGTGTGTGTCTTGATAAATTCAGCATTGTAGATCCACTGGGTGAGACATTAGTGACTCAATGGTAGAATCCTTGCCTTCCATGCAGGAGACCCGGGTTCAATTCCTAGCCAATGCACCTCATATGCAGCCACCACCCCTTTGTCAGTGAAGGCTTGCATATTGCTATGATGCTGAAAAGACTAAGACAAACCAGGAAGAAGGGCCTGGCAATCTACTTTAGAAAACCAGCCGATAAAAACCTGACAGATCACAATGGTCTGATCCCCGACTCAGCATGGGAATGGCACAGGACTGGGCAGTGTTTTGTTCACTTGTGCATTGGGTCGCAGTGAGTCGGGGCCGACTTGATGGCAGCTAACAACAATAGAACCACTAGAGATCCAAATAAGAGAATGAGGGTGTGTAGGCAGACCACTCCTACACAGCAACTGCAAAGGGGGCAAAAGCAGAGTTGGAAGAGGATGGGCATACAAGGTGGCCTCACTGAACTGTGTGAGACCCTTACTTATAGGGCTCCTGCCGGGCGTGTGGTGGGGGAGAAGAGGGAAATGGAAGGGCAGGGAAGGTGGATGGGGACCCTCCAGAGTGGTTTGCACCAGAGATAAAGCCTCAGGGAGAAGAGTGAAGCAGGCTTTCACCCATCCCTTCACCCCACCTCCTTCTCCACATTTTGTCCCAAGCCTTCCTTCACTCCCCAAGAAAATCTTACCAATTTTATTCATTGTTTCATTTGAAAAATGATTCCTATTTTCTTTCTCTTTAGGAAATTTATACACGTTCATTGCAGAAAATGTAGAAAACACAGAAAAAAGCATGAACATTCAATGATAAGCATTGTTAATATTTTGATATATTTCCTTCTTGTCTTTTTCTATGCATCTATTTTACACATATTCTGTACATATATACGTAAGTATTCTGAATATGCATAAGTATTTTAAATAATGAAAACTTCCCTGCAAATAGGATTCTATATCCTGCTTTTCTTCAAGTAGCCTGAAGTCGTGAGTCACTGCTGTTGGGCAGTAGTGCTTGATGACCATCTTTGTATAGAAACCCCCTCTCCTGATAAATTCTTTACAGTAAATTCTTTAGCAATGAGCAAAGGTATGGATATAACTTTTTAAAGCTTCTTATATATATCGACAAAATGCTGTCTAGAAAAGTTTTGTCAATTTACACATTTGCTAGCAGTGTATGAAAATGTCTTTATCAGTATAATAAATAGGATTGCTTATTCTGTATAATTTAATATCTCTGTTTTAATCTAGCTGATTGGTGATCTAGATTATGAAAATCCAAGTAATCTGGCATCTGGCAATAAATACTTGGTAATAATCCAAGTGCAGGATGTTGCCCCTCCTTACTATAAAAGCAAGTATCATTTTGATTTATTTCATGAGACATCTTCTTGAGTAGCAATAACTGTGTTAGACAGTAGGCTTTGACAAAACCAAACACTTGGGAGTCATCCCAGTCTTCTCTCCCTTCTGCACCCAGCACATTTAATCAGTCCTTTCCTCTGTGTCACCTCCAAAAATCTTAAGAATCTGCCCCGCATCTCTGCTCTGTACCCCACTGCTACTGCTCTAATGCAGGGCCCTCTTTTTCTTGGCTGCATTACAACACTTAACAGTCTCTTAACAGTCCCTCTGCCTCTGTCTTGTCCCTCTCCAATGCATCCTTCCCATTTCTGTTAGTGATTTTTTAGGAAATGCAAATGCCACCATATTACTTTCTTACTTAAAACCCTTGAGTGTCCCCCATAGCTTTCAAGTTCAAGTTCAAACACTTTGGTTTCATACACGAGGACTTTGATCAGCTGGCCCTTACTTAATTCTCTAGCTTCAATTCCAGTCGCTCCCCTCTAAACCCATTTCCTCCCAGCTAGGCCGAACAGCTTATAGTTCTTCTGAGTGAATTATGCTGTTTGATACCTTGATATCTTTGCATGTGCCAAGAACACCCACATTATCCCCATCTCTGGCCCCATTTGCCTGACTGTAACTGTCCTTGTAGTCCCTGGGTGATTAAGTGCTTAACTACTAGCCAAAAGGTTGGCGGTTCAAACCCAACCAGAGGCAACTTAGAAGACAGGACTGGTGATCTGCTTCTGAAAGGTCACAGCCTTGAAAACTCTATGGAGGGCAGTTCTGCTCAGCACACATGAGGTCGCCATGAGTCAATCGACTTGGCAGCAACTGGTGTAGCTGTCCTTGTAAGGCTCAGCGTGCACCTCCTCCTGGAGGCCAGTCCTCCTTCAGCCTCCATAGTGCCCTGTGCTTGGGTTTGTCAAAGTGCACACACTTTAAGCACCTGGAGGGCAGGGACGACCATGTCTTATTCACCTTGTATCCCCAATATTTTGCACAGAGCTTGGTCCACAGAAGATGCTTTAGAAATGTTGAAAAAGTAAATGAACAAATAAGAATAGAATATTGAGATTTAATTTTTTTTTGTCTATTTTTGTTTTTAGATAACATCTACGTTTATATCTTAACAAGCCCAGAAAGTGAGTTTCCTCTCATCTTTGATAGGCCATCCTATGTATTTAATGTGTCAGAAGTAAGGTCAGGTAGGTAACAGATAAGACACAGACCATACTGCTCTTGATGGACTCACGCAGATGCATGTTCTGCTTTCAGGGCCTAACCAGTTCATTCCAGTTCAACCTCCTGCTGAGAATATGTAGTTCCATCCCAGATATACTGAATCAGAATCTACATTTTAACACAATCTTATGTATATGTCTATAGTTTAACAAGATCCCCGGGTGATTCTTATGTGTACATCTACATTTTAACAAGATCCTCAATTGATTCTTATAAAAATCACCTGGGGATCTTGTTAAAATTAGATTCTGAATCAGTACATCTGAGGTGGAAATGCAAATTCTCCGCAGGGGTTCAAAGCAGATGGAACCAGTTTGAAGCCCTGGTTCTGCAGAGGTAAGCTCCCTTTGAGAGGCCCTGCATGGTATTTTGCACAGCGATTCACAGCTGATTAGTGTTTATTGCAGCCCTTATTTTTCTTTTAAATTGTCCTCACTGCTGAGGAGCCCTTCAGGTGAGGTCTGGATTTTGAAAACTGTTGATTAAACTGCATTTGTCAGAAACCCCTGATTGCTGCTTTGTCTGTTTGCCTGATTCCTCTAATCCTCCCTATTTGTAGCCTAACTTTTCTCTTGGTCTCCACTGTGATTTTTATCCATCTCACTCAGAGAATTGAAATAGAAAAGATAAAGTTTCCCATTCCCAGATTCCCCTCATTTAAAAACAAAATAAAGACATTTTCTCTCTCCTTTACTAGCATTCGGAGCCCTGGTGGCACAGTGGTTAAGAGCTTGACTGCTAACCAAAAGGTCGGCAGTTCGAATTCACCAGCCACTCCTTGGAAACTCTATGGGGCAGTTCTACTCTGTCCTATAGGGTTGCTATGAGTCAGCAACAGGGGGGTTAGTTACTAGCATTCGCTGGAGGCCTTCTTTTATACCCTGTATAACACCTTGATTCCTAGTGTTGCCCCCACTGAAGTCCCTCCCAGCTCCTATTTTGGCTTCAGTTTCTTCCCATCTCTCCCAGTTTGAAAGTAATAACATTAATTCTCTAATACAATTTTAGATTTCCCCACAGCTTTTGTTCCTTTGCTTATGGATTACTTATTCCACATTTAAAAAAAGAATCCAAACACTGCCTCTAAAATTATCCTCCCTCCATTTTATTTTCTCTCCTTATGATGGTCTTTATTTCCTGATGTTAAGTTTAAAACAAAACACAAGAAGAGGATCCAAATAAAATGTTTTTAATTTCTTATACCTTAACCAGTGAATAACAAGTGCAACAGTATTTATGAATTCGTAGATCTTACTGCAATTATTTTTGATCACCTACTTTGGGTCAAGCACTTTACCTGGTGCTGGGGCTATATAGTTGACTAAGAGAAGGTTTATGCCCTTGGGGGAGTATAATATTTATGAGAAAGAACTTTTATAACAAGCAGGTCAGAATTCCAGTAGCTCTACAACAAGATTTGTAAAATAGGAAAAATGGAACAGCATTTTAAAGTTTACATTTTATAATCATCATTTGCTAAATTCTTAAAAATTATTTTTAATCCTATTTATAAAAGCAATTCATGCTCATTATAGAAAATTTGAAAAATGCTCAAGAGTATAAGGCAGGAAAGAAAAAAATCACTTTAGACAACTCTGCTGCAGAAAGATGTATGCATAAGGATGTTCTCTGCAGTGTTGTTTATGATGGCAAAATCGCTGGCAGGTTTGGAGTCTATCTAAAGGGCATGAATTGTCTGCAATGTTAATATTTCTCATACCTCACAGTATTTGCTGGACCTAGGCCGGCTGCTTGGATCATAGGGCCAGTTACCTAGTGGACGCTTGTTAGCGTGGACTAGGTCCCGAGTGGTGCCAGTGGTTTGCAATCGGCTGCTAACCCAAAGGTTGGTGGTTTAACCCACCCTGCAGCTCTGCGAAAGAAAGGCCTGGAGAACTACTTCCGTAAAGATTATAGCCAAGAAAACTCCATGGAGCAGCTCTACTCTGTAACACATGGGTTGACATGAGTCAGAATTTACTCAACGGCAGTGGGCTTTTTTTTTTTTTTAATGGAATTGAAGATATAAAACCTACAGACATAAAACAACACAAACGCCTCCAAAAGTCACTACTCTCTGGCAGTGAGGAATGGCATTGAGGTGGGTTGTCTGTCCCTGTGCCCTACCCCGCAAAGCTGTGCTAATCTCAGGTATATTCTTTTCCTCCAGCTAGAGCCCGGATTGGACAGGTACGAGCGACCGATAAAGACTTCCCCCAGAGTAACATCGTGTACTCCATCTCCAGTGGAGGGGCCAGCCTCCAGCACCCAAACATATTTTGGATTAATCCCAAGACAGGAGAACTCCAGCTAGTGACTAAAGCAGACTATGAAACAACCCCCACCTATATTCTCAGAATCCAGGCCACCAACAGTGAGGACACAAGCTCAGTCACTGTGAGTGCAGCTCTTGTTTGGTGCGCTTACACCAGGCCTCTGTCTTCAGGTCTTTCTGGCACCCTCAGGGTGTCTGGCTGCAGCCATAGGAAACTTCATAGGGCACAACCTGCAGCTGTGACAGGAAATGAGTACTAATATCCAGAGCAGTACAACTGGACACACAGAGGTGCCCAGGAAATAGATTGACATCTGTAGGTCCATGTTTGTGGGGGCCTCAGAGAAGCGCTGAGACTGATGACCACATGTTGGACTATCTGCTGACCCCACAAAGCCACTTTATGGGACAAGTGTCCTCCTGTTGCCCTTTAAATCTCCCTTTGCTTTCATGGTGGGCTGATGGTGAGATGGATGCTACCCAGAAGTGAGGCGGTTTCATAGCTCTGCGTTTCCCCCATCAGTGGTTTTGTCATGTTTCAACCCACCCCCACACACACCAGCATGGGGTAGATCTTAAAATGATGTGGCTTAACATAGTGCTGTGGGGAAGTCGGTGTTTAATGGTAGAATTTTCACCTTCCATGCCAGAGACCTGGGTTCAGTTACTGGCCAATGCGCCTCATGTACAGCCACCACCCATCTGTCAGTGGAGGCTTGCTTGTTGCTATGATGCTGAACAGGTTTCAGCAGAGCTTCCTGACTAAGACAGACAAGAAAGTTCTGGTGATCTACTTCTGAAAATCAGCCAGTGAAAACAATGGTCCCATCTGCAACCGACCACGGGGATGGTGCAGGACTGGGCAGCATTTTGTTCCATTGTGCATGGGGTCGCCATGAGTTGGGGGCCAACTCGATGGCAGCTAACAACAGCACGGTGCTATACTGCTTCTCCACCTTTGATGATGAGAATCTTGTTAAATGCAGATTGTGATGCAGACTGTCTGAGGCCTGAGGTTCTGCATTCTAACAAGCTCCCAAGTGGTGCCAATGCTTCTGGTCTGCAGCCACACTTTGAGTAGCAAGGGTTTCACAGGTCAATGCTGTCAGCAGCTAGGACTAGCTGAGGGTAATGGGATGGCCACACAGACAGAACTATTTCTTGGTCCTTCCCATTAGTAAAGTGAAAAAGCATGAAGGTAAAGTGAACTCTTAGCAGGCAGCCCTGTGTGATGTAGAGAATGACTGGTTCAGAGTCAGGAGACGGAGTTCATTTCTCAGCTTTGATCACAATTTTCTCTGAGTCTGAGCAATGTTTATCTCTGTGTTCCAATTTCTCTATCTCTTAAATGGAGATTCAACTGATAACCCAATGCCCAAAGAGTCCAGTTTTTGTGATGACTTGCTTTGAATTAATGGGATGATGCTTTTCATGATGTGTGAGGCTTCGCATTGCTAGCTGAGGGGAGGATGTGTTACATTGGAGATAATTGCAGTGTTTGTTAGGCTGTTGTTTTTTTTTTTTTTTTTGAGAAAAATGAATGGACTCACTTTGGGAGCTAACTAGAGTGAACATTTATTTCAATTTATTCCTGGGCTCAGAAATAGCTGAAATCCCCAAATATCAAAAGCAGAATGAATATGACTCAAAATTCATAAGCTTTAAAAAGGGTGATGAACTAAATGATCACATAAGCCCCTTTTGGGGCTGAAAGTCTATGATTTTGTTCTGGCAGCCATCCCAGTCCATATTCCAATTCACCAGGCAAAAAAGACAGCTGTGAAAGAGAAGAGGCTGACCCCTGCCTATGGCCGGTGAGCACCAATGGCTTAGCGCAGTGCTAATGGCCCAGGTTACAGATGAGATCCTGCCTTAGCCAGACAGACTCGTTCTATCCCAGTGGTTCTTAACCCTGGCTGCATATTAGAATCATCTGGGAAACAAAAAAAAATAGCAATGCCTGAGCTCCACCTCCAGAGAGTCTAATGCATTTGGTCTGGAATGTGGAACTACATTGAGAACCATCACACTATATTCCAAAGTTAAAGTCTGAATTCCCAATTCACAACGGGCAAGTGAACAAGAAAGTATAGTGGATCATCGTAAATCCATAATCATTACTGGAGAAACAACTGAGCATCATTTGGGGATGAGCTGATGTCTGAGTGCATGTGTGATATGTGAATGTATTCATATACTATGCACACACACACACACACACACACACACACACACAAAGTGTAGACATGACTGACATAGGATGTGGAGTAGGGCAGACCTGAGTTCAAATCTCAACTCTGCCACTTAGCAACTATGTGGTTTTAGGTCAATTACCTAACTTCTCTAAGCCTCAGTTTCCTTATCTATAAAAGGAATAATCATATTATTCTATCTCATATGAGGTTAAATGAACTAATCCACAGAAAAGTGCTTAGCCCAGTGCCTGGCACACAGTAAGCCTTGATAAGTGTTAACTATTAAGAATGACCACCTTCTTGTTGCTCTAGGTTACTGTGGACATCCTTGAAGAAAATGACGAAAAACCCATATGTACCCCGAACTTTTCTTTCCTTGCCATCCCAGTGGATCTGAAAGTTGGCACAAATATTCAAAATTTCAAGCTGACATGTACTGACCTTGATTCCAGCCCCAGATCTTTTCGTTACTCCATTGGCCGAGGTACAATACTTGGTTTCGACAGTCCTGGACACTGTTCTTGAGGATTCCTGGTGTCTCAGGCTTAGTAGCTGTTTAGAGAGAATAGGTGGAGGTCTGTGCTTACACACAGTGTACGTGGTGGGGGGTATCTTGAATGAGGAAAGCAAGGATGAAGAGTCTAGAGGTTCCTCTGTCCCCGGTCCTCCTCTTTGGCTTCCCCCTGTCCTCACCTAACTTTTCCCAGGCCCCCATACAGGGCTGCCCAAAGGCCCGAGGAAGGGTGAATCCCATTGATGGTGACCCCTCTCCCGAAATACCCAGAGTAGTTCAAAGATTCATAAAGCATATGAGTATAATTTTAAAAAAAAATAGTTCAGCTCCTCAACCACTTCCTTTCCTGAAAGCTTGTAATGGGGGCAGGGAATTCCAGTCCTCTCTCTGGGTAATAATAGATTAAATAGATGAAATGCTTTTTGAAATGTGTCCTCAGGAATTCTGCTCCATTCATTTTCTCTTTTTAAAAATATACCATTGTGGGGTGGTGGGGAGAGCACCCTCAATGGAAATTAGACCAAAATAGCTCATCTAATGAAGTGCTGGGGCCAGAGATTTAAACCCAAGCAAGCAGAGCAATTCCATGTGAGAGAGTAAAATCTATCCCGGCTGCCTGCTGAGCCCTGGCAGAGCAGGAACTCAGGCAGTAGGAAGCCTCTCGAGCTGTCTGTGTCACAAAACCCAGGGGCAGATGCTGCCTCGAGACTGCAGTTGCGGAGGATGGAAATAATCCATACTGAGAACCCTAAGGCCTTTACGGTGCACTTCGCTGCTAAGGGAGTGAAAATTGCATCATCTCCTGCTCCATTTACTGGTTTTCAGTCGGTAATGAGTCTGGAGCCAGTGGAGGAATGAGCAAGAACGTGTTTAGGCTGGCAGCCTCTCTGCCCCAGGCTCCTTGAGCTGTGAGCTGTGAGCCGTGACCCCAGCAGAACTCTGTGTATATGTGCATGTGTGTGCACATACAAGAGAACTGGGGCCAGGATCTCTGAAAAGCAGGAGGCATCTTCCTTTGGGGGACCCCACAGGCATCTATAATCAGTGTGACCAGCCAGGTTCCATGGAATCTATGGTGTGAACTTGGCCTATAGCTAGGTAGGAGGCCCGCCCTACCCTCCTGTTGTCCACTGTTTTGTCTGAGTGTAAGTTAGCATGTGGTTACTTAAATAAATGCCATATGGAGAAGGATGGGCTGGAAGGGGCTGCAGCAGGAGTATTAAAGCTCTCTGCCTGATGCTCAGCAAGATGGCGACTGGTTCTCGTAGGACAGGTGTGCTGTCATCCTTTTCTACTCTCATTCTTGTTGTCAGCCACACTGGTGTGAGCAAGAATTTCCTTGTATGGATAAAATCGCTGATGCAGTTAAAGCCAATACATAACACTGACCCAACCATCATATATCCAAAACACAGTGTACACTTTAGGTGTAGTGAACATTCGAGGACAAGACCGAATGTACTTTTTTTCTTACTCTCCTTTTTTCCTTTTCCCTACACCCTTGTAACCAATCTCATTTAGGCAACATCAACAATCATTTCACCTTCTCACCCAATGCTGGCTCCAACGTCTCCCACCTGTTGCTTGCATCTCGCTTTGACTATACTGGTGGGCTTGATAAGATCTGGGACTATAAGCTGCTTGTCTACATAACTGATGACAACTTGCTGTCTGGAAGGAAGAAGGCTGAGGCTCTTGTTGAAACAGGGACAGTGACAATGAATATTAAAGTTATTCCTCACCCAACCACAATCATCACGACAACCCCCAAGGTAAGTCTTTTGTCCTGGAATCCCCAACCACATTCCCTTGTGATTTACATTGATGAAGCTCTTTGACCCAGAAGAAATGTGGGATGGACTGAAAGAGCTGAGGTAATAGGATATTGCTGGGGATGGCAACCATGGGCAGGATCGGAGTAGTCAGCGGGTGGCAGATAAAGAGCCGGGTGAGACCTTGAACTCATAGGACCGTTCACTTTTCCTATTCTGGTAATGAAGAATGTGTGTTTGTGCAGGATCCTGTGATAGATCAGGCATTGACCACCTATGTTGCTTGTGGCACAGGAGCCAATTTTCATGAGCACGTGGCCAGTTGCTACCTTCACAACCCCTTCTCTGCTTGGTCTTAAGAGCCATTGCAAGTCAATGTCCATGAAAGCAGATAGCTGCCAGGTGCTCCCCACCTCTTCTGAAGAGTCACCATGCATCATTTTATTTCCTACTCCCAACTTCCACTCAAAAAATATTCATTCATTCAATCCAAAAATATTGATTTAATGGTGATAATGTGCCAATCGCTTTGGTGAACAAGCCAAAAATGATTCCTGTTCTCATGGAGCTTTTAATATATGTCAGTGGTTCTCAAAGAGTGGTCCATGGACCAGCAGCATAAGCATCACCTGGGAACTTGTTAAAAATGTGAACTCTCAGGTCTTCCCAGATTATTAAAGTTATTCCTCACCCAACCATGATCATCACCATGACCTCCAGGGAAGGACGCTGGAACCCAACCATATCCCCAGACTGACTGAATCAGAAACTGTGGCAGTGTGACACAGCCATCTGTGTTTTTAATAAGTCGTCCAGGAGATTCTGATGTGCACTACAGTTTGAGAGCCACTGGTCTAGAGGGGTAGACAGATAACAAACAAGTAAGCAAATTAATAAAATAATTACAATAGTAGTAAATGTTAGGAAGGAAATAACAGGTGCCATAATAGAATCAGTGTGAAGGAAGGAAGAGTTTTGGACTCTGCCAACAGAATTATCTCCTCTGCTCCTTGGAGGAACTGGCTTATATTTATTCTGACTCTTTTGTTCCTTTTCCTCTTCTTGGCTTGTGAAAGCTGAACTCCTGGTCAGCAGCCTCATACTTGCAAAAGGCCAGAGGAAACATACTCAGAACCTTAGAAAGTCACCTGTGAAAGGTGGCCAACTTCTGCATCTCAGAGTCTTACCAAAAGCTGGTTAATGTTTACCTCCCCTCTGCTTGCGTCAATATCACCCCAATGAATGGAGGCATACCGTAACCCTAAAGACTTTTGGTTATAGTAGGAACCAGTAGGGTCCCCTGAGTAAGGAATTACCTACCCCCTATCTTGGGCTTAAAGCATGACCCAATTATGACATCTCCAATTCTGAAATATCCTTGACTTGTTTATCTGTTTCCCGCCCTAAGAAGCAAATGCTGAACTTGAGGTTTCACCGTGTTATCAGCTCACTCCTCTGGCAGTCACAGTTTGTAGTTGAGTGAACACTGAAAAACCTACAAGGTGTAAAAAAACAACTTTCATGGCTCCTGCGTTCTCAGTGAGAGACAATTGCTATATTAGTCCCTGGGTTACACCGTGTTTTGGCAGAAAAAAAGCCAATGGCATTTGTAGCATTTAGGAAAGGGAAGAAAGACAGAGAATGAAATTAGGTCTGGAGTTGCTTTTCAGTTCCCTAAATTTTCTGGATTTTGATCTAATGGATGTCTGGAAAGACAACTGGTCAGGTGATGGGTCAAAGCAGCAAAAATTATGAGCACACGGATGTCCACCTTATAGAGCAAGAACAAGAGTGGAAGTAAACACTCAACATGGGGCAGTGCTGAATGTCATAATGCTACTACACTCCACTCACCCTCCCCATTTCTACCATCCAAGCCCAGGATCACCTACCTGATCCAGAGGGAAAATGTTTATTCTCCATCAGCGTGGTACGTGCCTTTTGTCATCACCTTGGGCTCCATGTTACTTCTGAGTCTCCTGCTGTCCCTGATAATCCTGTTGGCCAAAGCCATCCACAGACACTGCCCCTGCAAGACCAGGAAGGACAAGAAACCTCTGTAAGTTACCAGTGAGCTAGGCCCTTTCCACCACTTCCTTTGGTACCCTGTTTTCAGTGATGTCAGGAGAAGGAAAGATGGAGAACCAGGATTCCTCTATAGGGTAGGGTGCCTGGAGTGAAGGAATGAAAAGGAGATATGAGGGAAGAAATCTCAGCTTCCCTTGGTCCTGGTGTCCCCTTCTCATCACCTGCTGGACCATGAAACCATTCTTTTGGCTTCCTCTGGCAACCTGCCCTGTCCTTCATGGACTCTCAGTGAAACTGGGGCTCCTACCCTTGGGGGACCTTGCCCTGGATAAAGGCTATGTAAAGCCTTGTTGTGAACAGTGATAGAATATGCTGTGCCCCTTTTTTGCAGGATTTTGAAAAGATTGGATAGAGTCAGAGGAAGCACAAAAAAGAGAATTAAGCTTTTGGTTCCAATGACTCAACTGGGCTTTTGTGTGACTAAATAATCATTGTGCTTTTGCATGTGGCACGATCTCTCACTCTTGAAGGGCTGTAAACAGAGTCGCATTTTCTCTCCCTCCTACTTTCACCTGCTCACTAATATGCCTCTTACTGTGACAGTCTATGAAGTGTCTTTTACTGGCTAAAGTGAGGTACTAGAATGAAGCGGAGAGAGCACTGTATTGTTACAAACTGACCCTAGAGCCAGACTTCTAGATTCTCAGTAGCTCTTACAGAAAGAGCATGATGGTTATGAGCCTGAGTTCAAATCCTGATTCTACCACTTTCTAGGTATGTGGCTTTGGACAAGTGGCAACCTCTGTGAGCCTCAATTCCCTTATTTATAAAACTAGACCATTAAGTGAACAAATGCAAGTAAAGCACTTAACACTCTTCCCGATATACCGTATTTTTATGCAAATAAAACACACCTTCTATATTTGTTTGCCAACGGCGCCCTCCCCCGTGAAGTATTTTCATAAGTGCTGCTATGCCAATTTTTTTTAAATACGTTGCTGAAAAAAAAAAATAGCATAGCATGTTTATGAAAATACCTCCCAGGGGGAGGGCACGGTTGGCAAACAAACGTAGAAGATGTGCGTTGTTTACATAAAAATACAATATATCCACCCAGTTGCCATCGAGTCAATTCTGACCCATAGCGACCCCATGTTTGTCAGAGTAGAACTATGCTCCATACGGTTTTCGGTGGTTGATTTTTCAGAAGTAGATCACCACGCCTTGCTTCCAAGGCTCCTGGGTAGACTTGAACCTCCAAACTTTCAGTTAGCAGCTGAGCATGTTATCCATTTATACCACTCAGAGACTCTTCCTGATATATATATAGTAAATGCTTAAGACACTACAACCATTATTTTTATTGTTGCATTATTCCTTACAGTTGAGCGTGAGTAGGTTTAGGATTCCGGATTTCAAGTCTAGTATTATGCCCAAGTATCTCAGGGTATTGGAACCTCTGAGTTTCAGGATTTCTCACTGGGAAAAAGAAAGAGTGATAAGACTCATGTGCCTTTTAAAGGTATTTTGAAGATTAACTAGTACTGTCAAATAATTTATCATCTATGGACGAAAGACTCAGTATAAAAGCATAAGGCATTAGCATAGAGATGTACATTCCATTTTGCCATATTTATTGGGGAAGTTGTTGCTATTGGCAACCTTGACTTCAAGGTAAGTAATCCTTGAGCATCTGCTGAAATAAAAAAGGCATTTTTGTTTGGGCTCTACTTGCAAATTGATTTGAAAAAAATTGTCTCCAAACAAAGTGGTGCTTAAGCTTGTAAGGATGGTGGTGCTCTGTAATGGGATTTGGGCAGAAGTTCTTGAAGGAAGTAATCCAATAGACAGGGAACTCACATGCAATTTATGGCTAAGTGTTAAATATGTACCTTGAACCTGGCTATTTTTACCTTAGATTCTAAATATGAATTGTTTCCAACATGGTTGACTTAAGAGAGACTAGTGAGATATTCAGGGTCAGACCTGGCCTCTCTGGAAATTAGTTGTAACATATGACAGACAACATTTGTCAAACAGAAAAGAATAAAGTTAGAGTCCTAAAATTATGGAATCCAAGGTTGCACCAGCTTTACAGTAAGCAATGCAAACAATTATGCACAGGTCTAATTGTGTTTACTTATCTGTAGTGCAAAGTTTCAAAGATGTGGTGAAACCCATGTGAAATTGTGCACTACAGATTAGTAAGTAAGCTTAATTAAGCCCGTGCGTACCTTGCTTATTGGCTAATCCGTCCTTGCCTGGAGCCCAAGGAGCACAGCTGCTCAAAGGACCTCATGTTGTCGCGTACGTACCACAGGACCAGATACTTTCAGGTTAATTAATGTCTCTTTCTCTCTTTTTTTTCCATAGGGTGAAGAAAGGAGGTATGTACAGGGCCTGCTGTCTCTGTTTGTTCTGCTTGGTCTGTTGTACTATGTTAAAGGGCTCCAGCTGAGCAGAGAATCAGAGCATAATCACATCTTGGCGAGTTTTCAGTGGGTGGAAGGAAGCAGTAGGTGGTGAAGCTGGAGAAAGGGAAGGGTAGGTTGCTTGGTGCCATTGGCCCACTAGACCTCTCACTTAGGCCCTACCCATCTCCAGTCAGTTTGATTTAAGCATCTAGAGGTCGATTCCCCACTGAGTGGGACAGGAATCAAGCATTCTCCATGTGTTAAACACCAAACCCAAAAAACCCACTGCCATCGAGTTGATTCTGACTCATAGCAACCCTATAGTACAGAGTAGAACTGTCCCATAGGGTTTCCAAGGCTGTAATCTTCACAGAAGCAGATTGCCACATCTTTTTCCCACAGAGTAGCTGGTGGATTTGAACTGCTGATCTTTCAGTCAGCAGCCAAGTGCTTAACCACTGCACCACTAGGGCCCCTGTGTTAAACACAGTCTGTGTTACACAGACGGATTACCCAATAAGCAAGGTGTGCATGGTCTTTCTTGTGCTTACTTACTAATCCGTAGTGTACAATTTCACCTGTTTTTTACCATATCAACAATGTGGTAAAACCCATGTAAGTAAACACAGTTAAACTCGTGTGTACCTTGCTTACTGGTTACTCCACCCCTGCAACAGTGTATACTCACTGCTGCACACAGAGGGGTGTGACACCCCCTCACCCCCCGAGGACAGCGGCTGTTCTGTCTTGGACAGATTCCTCTTTTTAAAGAACAATACTTGATTCTCAGCTTATAATGGATTTGATCGTTTTCACAAGTTATATAGACTAGGTTCCTTAGAAAGGGTAGCTGTGTGTAGTCAGGTGAGCTGGAGAGCTGGGTAATCTCTGGAAAGTTGGCGAATTGAACAAGATCCATCTGAACAGCTCCGGGCCTGGGAGCTCCATGACCTGGAGCTCCATGACCTGGCCCTGGCAATCGTGGCTCTGAAGAGACCCCAGACTGTGGGCAGACAGGACAAGGAAGTGGGAAGCAGGTTTAAGAAAAGCATGATCTAGACGCTGCATCCACAGGTATTTGTGCATCTGACGTGCACAAGGCACGTCCAAGTAGGGGTTACATTTTGTTTATAATGGTTATTGATCATACTGAACAATATTATTTTAATAAACAAGATTGTCACAAACTGTCTCCAATCCCAGTTACTTTTTAAAAGAGGTGTAGAAAATATATGCAAAAAATCCCCATGTTAGGGTGAAGTGTATCAACCTAGACTTTCTTATAAAGTCATTTGAAAACTGATTTCCTAGGCCCAGTAATAACAATAAGCTGAAAAAAAGAGTAAAAAAAATTTAAATTATGTGTGTATGTGTATAACCAAACCAGGCTGTAATCTTTATGGAAGGTGACTGGCACATCTTTCTCCTGCGGATTGGCTGGTGGGTTTTAACCATTGACCTTTCAGTTAGTAGCCGAGTGCTTAAGCACTGCACCACCAGGGCACCTTTGTATATGTGTGTGTGTGTATATATATATATGTAATATATATATATAACCCAAACCCAAACCCATTGCCATCGAGTCGATTTTGACTCATAGCAACCCTATAGGACAGAGTGGAACTGCTCCATAGGGTTTCCAAGGTGGATTCGAACTGCCAGCCTTTTGGTTAGCAGCCAAACACTTAACCACTGCACACCAGGGCTCCAAAAGGGAGCACCTGTCCCATAGATATATGTGTGTGTGTGTATGTGTGTGTATATATATGTATGTATATATATGTGTATGTATGTATATATATTTTTTTTCTTTCTGAGATGGCAAGCTGTTAACAATCATGTCTATAGACAGAAAAATTCTTTGCTGTGTCTGCAAGACTGAGATGAAAGCCTGTTTAGGAGAAGTGCTATTGTGGGGATAGAATTTTTAAGGTCTATTTAGTGTCCCAGAAGCTTGACTTCTGCCTGTCCTATTCCCTGCAGAAATGAAGATGGCAAAGAGAGCCACTGTGGTGGTGAGTGGGTCAGCGCCAGGGTCCCTGGCTTGGGCATTGGATGGCGGGAGGTGCCGTTGCCCCAAATAGGCCCTGCCACAGCCTTGTGGAGGTGTTTATCATTCAGGGAGATGCTGGTATTTGGCCACTGGAACAGATTGCTGTGTGACAAGGCCCTGATAGAATTTGTTCCCTCCACTAAACATGTCTGCTGATATATTTGCAAAAGAACTGGATTTCATAAATATTGAATAGGGCTGTTTAGTATCTACACCAGACTGCCAGCAGTGTGAGTTGGGGGAGTGGAGCTTAAGGACTAAAACTGGCACTTCAGCGTTCAGTGGGATTTATTTTTTCTTCACTCTTCCACCACCTGTGGAAAAATGATAGAGAAAGAGCACTGGCTGGGTCTGGGGTTGGCTCTGCTCACTTAGGCAGATGACCTTGGGGAATCCCTGGTCTCTTTCAGCTTCAGATTCCTCATCTGTGAAATGAGAGTGAGGATATCTGCCCTGAGGTAACACGTGGGGAAATTTTTTTAAATGTCAAGTGTCTCACAAATGGAAAGTGTTACAGGATAGCTGGAGAGTTCTGCACCCCATTCCCATATTTTTTTTTCTTTTACTGAAACTGATCACCACTGAGAAGTGACAGAACTTGAAGGTGAGTCCTCCGGCTCTTCCCCAGCCCCTGAGAGTAAGGCTTTATTGTAATCCAAGACCCGTGAATTCAGGGGATGAGATGCACAGTGAGGAGGCCAATCCAGTACACTGGAACGTTTGCTTCAGACCCATCACGTAAGTGCTCGTAAGTCCCAGTCAGTCTACAAACAGGAGGAAGAGGCAATCTCTGTTCTCCTGGGTCTTACTGTCTAAGGCATGTAACCTCGGTAGTGCCATTCAGAGACGACCTTAGAATTATGAGATATCAATCTATTAAATAAAGAAATCCCATGACCATATAAAATGGGGTGCAACTTAGTTTCATCCACTTGATGAAACCCAAATAATACCCATTTTCCATCTCTTCCGAGTTGGGGAGCTGTGAGCAAGTAAGTAGGTGCTCATTTATGTGGTGAAATTGGGGATTGAAAGGCCCCACTGAGCCTCAAACACCTTCCTCATCAGCGTGCTAAACAATCTGACCTTGGCCCCATAAGAGGGAAGAGGGTGTTTCTATGGAAACAGGGAACAGATATATTAGGCAGAGACCAGGTCCTAAAGTGTGGCACAGAACATGGATCAGGGGAAGAACAACGTATGGAGCCAGGGCTTAGGTGAGGAAGGCCAGGCTCAGATGCAACGCTGCACTGGCCTAGGCAAGAGGAGACGGGTGCCAGGGGCCAGAGGTGGGAGCACATGGTTGCTCAGCTGTGCCTGCTTTTCAAGTCTGCCTGACAGTGATTCCACTTAGGCAATGTGGATCTTAGCCAGGGTTGCATGTCACATCTACTCTCCTGTCCGTCCAGTTCAGATGTCACTCACCCCACGATGCTTTCCTAACCCCCACATCCGGATTAGATGCCCTCCCATAGCTTTCTAGGTTGCCCCTATCATAGCCTTACCACTGCACTTGTGGCGCTTGTTTGTCAGTGGCTCCCACTTGATTGCAAGCTTTGTGCAGGCAGGAACCACACCTGGATTATTTACCACTGTGTCCCCAGCATCTGGCACAGTGCTTGTTGAATAAATAAATGTTAAGAGGCTTTGGGAAAGGAACTTCGCCTGTTGGGGAGCGCAGCCTTGTTTGGGAGGAGGAGTGTAGAGTTGTGCCTGATGCTATCTTTTTTCTGCTCCTTAGGAAACAATCCAGATGAACACAGTCTTTGATGGAGAAGCCATAGACCCAGGTAATGAAGTGGCAATGCCATCCATAAGGAAGTGGCCTTAGTTTTTCATACTCCAGGCTGGTAGGGTCACAGAAGACCTCATCCAGCTTCCTGCTCTTAACAGTCAGTTTGGCTACATTGCACATACAGTGCTGACCTTTCTAGGTTGAAATACAAGGTGAGGCCTGCTCTGAGCATGGCTGACTTGCAGATGGACAAAGACATGAGTGTGAGCGTGTGTGAGGCCTCAGCAAGTTTCCACTTAAAAACTCGCTCAAGGACCACGCCTGTTTCTTACCTCCCTTCCTAAATCTTGAACCAATTTAGGGAATTGTGAACACAAGAACAGGCAGTTTTTCCTGCCCACCGGGACACTCAGAGCCACCCCACCTGCCTGAGTGCTTCTAACACCATCTTACTGGTAGCGAGAGAGACGGAGAAATGGCGAGTTTGGCTTCTTTTTTCCCTAGATCTCAGCCAAGAATTTCTTCTTGGTCGACAAGATGAACATAAGGTGAAGCTGGCCCCTGAGAGTTCTCATCACCCCTCTGAAATCAGCTCCAAATTTAGCTCCTTTACACACATCCCTCTGCTCACAAAGGCTCAATTATAGACCTGAATAAAGGGAAGGAAACCAAATTCAGGAGGCAAGTGTGTTGGCTCCCTGCCATCCTCATATGCAAAATGCTCCGGTCCTCTTCTGAAGGATGGCTCCTTTCCAGAGAGGCTGCTGCTGCTGCTGCTGCTGCTGCTGGAATGAAATTTCCCTCTATTATTAGGTACTTGTTACCATAATGTGCCCACATTAGCATAAGTGCTGGTGGGATCCACAGCCGAGAGGCCACTCAGGCTGGATGGGAGGGCACAAATGGGCTCACCTGAAACTCGATCTTCTGGGGTAACATTCAGGGACCCCAGAGGCTGTTATCCTGGGTTTGTGTCCTTGAGAAAAGGACAAAGGAAGAAAGAAATGGACCAACTGGACTAATGTGAACAAACATACCAATTAGTATCTGTCGGCTCCAACACAATAAAAATGGCTCCCTTGCATCATCTCAACTCGGGCCAGACTTGTGTGCCTGTGTCGACAAAACTCTACTAACTCAATGTAAATAAAAACCAAGGTCTCTTTTTCCTCACTTGGGGAATTCCTTTTAAGAGCAGGGATTCAGGGGCCTTTTAAAACAATCAAAATAAGTCAGAAAGTAAAAGGCAACCCCATTAGAAATTGAGCCTAATTTATCCTAAGCTCGCGTGGAGTTCAAGATGTAAATCTCCGTCTCACCTTGTGGCTGAGATGGCCATGAGACTCTCCTAAACCTTTCTGTCCAGAGAGGCATGATGTTTGCTACCTGAGTTGCCTTAGTTGTATCATCTGTGGAAAGGGCAGGCTGGTGAAGATTGTTTGTGCTATTCACAAGCCTGCTTTCTATCTCTCAATTATTCACACCTTCTAGCACACTTCATCTTTGCTTGGGAGTGGGAGTAGAGCGGTGTGAAGATGGAAGAGGGGAAGAATCACTGAATTTCCTCATTTATAGTGATTGTTTTTTTGTTTTTCTTCCTAGTTACTGGGGAGATATATGAATTCAACTCAAAAACTGGAGCCAGGAAGTGGAAAGATCCATTAACCCAAATGCCAAAATGGAAAGAATTCAGCCCCCACGGAACTGCTACTCACAGGGTCACTGCTGGTGAGAGGACAGGGCCACTGAGGACCACCAACAAGGAAGAAGATGGGCTGAGTGGGAAAGGACAAGCTGAGGATGCAGGCTTGGGTTCCAGAAACGAGGATGGCAAGACTGGCACCCCCAAGAACAGAAACCCAACCCCCACAAGCACGGCTTCCCCTAAACTGGACCCAGGAAAGTAAATGGTGCCTGGTGGCCAGGCCCACAGCACAGAAGAGGGGCCTTGATTATCAGCAGGGTGCTGCCTCACCCCAAATTCTATGAGGGCAGGTGTGGGAGTGAAGTCGATGCAAAAATGTGGGCTGAAGAGACCCTGAGATGGGATGTTTGATAACCCTTAAAACTGATCACACAGTCACCTTTTCTGAGACTGCACAGTAGAAATTTCTCTCAGGTCTCAAGACTAGCTGAGTTTCTGTTGATCACCTGGACTGTTAGCTTTTGGATGCAGAATCATGGTGCTTTCCTCTTTGCATTGACTACTAGGAAGCTGCATTCAGCTGACTTCCTGACATAAATACTGAGGCCTCTCATCACCTCTGGTTTCAGAAACAGCATCACCCAGATTTCTTCACTTATAAATTCAGTTCAGCAACATAAAATCTATGCCTTTGTAAGTCACCTCAAATCTTTTTTAAAAGTAGCAGAGCAATAAAAAATGGATGAATAAATAATGAGTTGTACATCTGGGAAGAAGAAAACATAATAGACACCTTCTTTTATTCTTTTTTATTGAGGTGTAATTTATATTCATTAAAGTGCACAGATCTAAAGTCTTCAGCTCAATGATATGTATACGCCTCTCCAGAGGCATCCACTATTCTGATCTTTATCATCATAGATTAGTTTTGCCTGTTTTGAGTTTCATATAAATGGAATTCTACAAAATGTACTCTTTTGTGTCTGGCTTCTTTCTTTCAGCATCGTATCTGTGAAACTCATCCACATGTATAGTAGTAGTCCAGTCTTTTTCATTGTTATGTCTTATTCCACTGTATGCATATAACACAATTTATCCGTTCTACGCTTGGATTAAGGAGGCTTTGTGCAAGCACTTGGCTGCTAACCGAAAAGCTGGTGGTTCAAACTCACCCAGCAGTTCTATGGGAGAAAAACCTGGTGATCTGCTCCCATAAAGACTTGTTGTCGTTGTTACATGCTACTGAGTCGATTTTCAACTCATAGAGACACAATATGACAGAGCAGAACTGCCCTATAGGGTTTTCTTGGCTGTACTATTTACAGAAGCAGATCACCAGGTCTTTCTTCTGCCTACCATCTGGGTGGGTTCAAACTGCCAATGTTTTGGTTATCAGCCTAACCAAGCACTTAATTGTTACACCACCAGGGATCCTCCATAAAGATGACAGCCTAGAAAACCCCATGAGGCAGTTCTACTCTGTCACATGGGGTGACTATGAGTGGACAATTGACTCAACATCACATAACAACAACACATTTGGTTTGCTTCAAGTTTCTTACTCTTATGAATTACACCACATGTAATTTTGTACATGTCTTTTGGTGAATATAAACACTCATTTCTTCTGACCATATACCTAGGAATGGAATTGCTGGAGCAATTGCTAGATACTGCCAAAGAGTTCCAAAGTGGTGGTTCCAATTTACATTTTCACCAGCAATGGTTGAGAATTCCAGCTGCTCTACATCCTTGCCAACACTTGGATTTCCACTCCTTTTCATTTTAGCCAATCTGGTGCGGGACATTGTCCTTTTTATGGAAGCTAAAATAACACCAACCTTTCAACTCCCCTGCCCTGCTCCTTCCCTACTTCCTGTGATTGGAGAAACCACAGGATCTGAATGGAGATGCAGTGGGCAGCTGCACCGAACCAACAACTTCACCTGTTGGTGTGAGCGATGAACTGAAAATACACAGCACAGTGACAAACTAGAAAGAGAAACTTTCCAGTGTCTGCCTCACTTTGGCCCTCTGTCTTCTCCCCAGCAGCTATGGGCCTAGTCTGTATTACTTTCCTGGGGCTGCCAAAACAAATTACTCAAACTGGGTGGCTTAAAACAACAGAAATTTATTCTCTCACAGCTCTGGAGGCTGGAAGTCCGAAATCAAGGTGTTGGCAGGACCATGCTCTTCTGGAAGACTCTAGACAATCTGTTCCATGCCTTTCTTGGAGCTTCTGTTGTTACTGGCAATCCTTGGCATTCCTTGCCTTGTAGAGACATCATTCCAATCTCTGCGTCCGTCATCACATGGTATTCTCCCTGTGTGTCTGTATCTGTGTCTCTTCTCCTCTCCTTATAACAACACCAGTCGTATGGGATTACAGTCCAACCTAATGACTTCATCTTAACTTGATTATATCTGCAAAGACCCTATTCATAGGCACCAGAGATTAGGATTTCAATATATTTGGCGGGGGGGGGGGGCACAATTCAGTCCATAACATAGTCCAATAACCACTAGAAAGGAACAAGTGAGTCTATTAGATCAGCACCTGCTTCCCAGTAGAGGAGACAGGTGAGAACTCATAGGCCAACAGTGGCCCATGGGCTGCGTAGGTGGGAGGGTTAGGGTCTGTCCTGCAATTGAAGAATTTCAGAGAAAGCAGTTGTTTGTTTGCTGTATGTCTGTGCTTTAATGTGACTTCTTAAGAGAAAGCAGCATTGAAAAAATGCCCCGTTGTGGCCTAGATCAGGCGTGATTTATTAATAAGGCTTGGTTACCAGGGAACTCCCTTGAATGGGTTTAAATTTTGCAAAAGGAGGCAGAGCTGTTCATTTGTGTAGGTTAAAGTGGGTGAAGTGGCTGATCACCCATTTAAGACTTAGCTAGTGTGTGGGGCCCTGAGTAAAATGCCTTCCTCAGAAGCTCTCAGCCTCGATGCAAGTAAAATGAGGCTCAGAGAAGGCTGAAGAGGGACTTAATAACTGTTTATAAGCCCGTTAAGGATGATTAAAAGGAGGGCAGCGAGCAGCTGTTCTTCCTTCTCCAGTGATGACAAGGCAAGAGGGAATAGTGTTTAACGGCCAGAAGAGATTTAAGTTAGGCAAAGGGAGGAACTTCCTGAAGCCTGCGGTCTATTTGAAGAGCCCAGGGTCTTCCCCGTTGATGGGTAGGAAGAGCTGGTCGTCTTCCAGGCCCCAAGATGTGAGGATCCTGCTCCCCTCAGGAGCCTGAGAAATGGGAGCAGAATGGCACAAAGAGGTTATGACTGAGAGAAAATCTATACCCTCTTTTCTTTTGTGTACTTGGCTAGTTGATTTGGAGAAATCCAGAAGACTGAGGTTCAGAGCTGAGACCATCCAGTTTAAACATTTACCAGGTTTGGGGAAAAAAAATTATCTTTTTAAAATGAAGCCAGGAACCCTTGCGAATTTGTGAAAAATTTCTCACCTTTCTCTCCCGAGGCCTTGTTGTTGTGTTGTTAGTGGCCATCAATTTGGGCCCTGACTCATGGTGACCCCATGCCCAACAAAATGAAACGCCGCCTAGTCCTACACCATCCCCGTGATGGGTTGCATATTGGACCACTGTGATCCATAGGATTTTCATTGACTGATTTTCCAAAGTAATTTGCCGGGTCTTTCTTCCTAGTCCATCTTACTCTGAAAGCTCCACTGAAAACTGTTCAGCATCATAGCAACATGCAAGCCTCCAGTGACAGATGGGTGGTGGCTGTGCATGAGGTGCATTGGCCGGAAATCGAACCTAGGTCTCCTGCATGGAAGGTAAGAAGTCTACCACTGAACCGCCAATGACTTCTCACCAGACCTTAATCATATCAATTTATTGTAGCCAATGTTTATTTGCCTGATTCTAATTCATCCCAAACTTGGGACAAATATATCAGGGTGATTGTTTTTGTTGTTAGGTGCCGTCAAATCAGTTCTGACTCATAGCCATCCTATGTACAACGGAATGAAACACCGCCTGGTCCTCACAATCATTGCTATGTTTGAGTCTATCGTTGCAGCCACTGTGTCAATCCATCTTGTTAAAAGTCTTCCTCTTTTTCGCTGACCTTCTACTTTACCATGCATGATGTCCTTCTCCAGGGGCTGGTCCCTCCTGATAACATGTTCAAAGTTCATGAGACGAAGTCTCCCCATCCTTGCTTCTAAGGAGCATTCTGGCTGTACTTCTTCCAAGACAGATTTGTTCATTCTTCTGTCAGTCCATGGTATATTCACTATTCTTCACCAATACCATAATTCAAAGGCATCAATTCTTCTTTGGTCTTCCTTATTCATTGTCCAGCTTTCACATGCATGTGAGGCAATTGAAAATACCATGGCTTGGGTGGGGTGCACCTTAGTCTTCAAAGTGATGTCTTTGCTTTTTAACACTGTAAGGAGGTCTTTTGCAGCAGATTTGCCCAATGCAATAGATCATTTGATTTTTTGACTGTTGCTTCCATGGACATTGATTGTGGATCCAAGTAAAATGAAATCTTTAACAACTTCAGTCTTTTTTCCGTTTATCATGATGTTGCTTATTGGTCCAGTTGTAAGGACTTTTATTTGCTTTATGTTGAGGTATAATCCATACAGAAGGCAGTAGTCTTTGATCTTCATCAGTAAGTGCTTCAAGTCCCCCTCACTTTCAGAAAGCAAGATTGTTTCATCTGCATATCGCAGGTTGTTAATGAGTCTTCCTCCAATCCTGATGCCCTGTTCTTCTTCATATAGTCCAGCTTCTCAGATTATTTGCTCAGCACACAGATTGAATAAGTATGGTGAAAGGATACAACCACGACACACACCTTTTCTGATTTTAAACCATGCAGTATCCCCTTGTTCCGTTCTAACAACTGCCTGTTGGTCTATGTACAGGTTCCTCATGAGCACAATTAAGTGTTCTGGAATTCCCAGTCTTTGCAGTGTTATCCATAATTTGTTATGATCTGCACAGTTAAATGCCTTTGCACAGTCAATAAAACGCAGGTAAACATATTTCTGTTATTTTCTGCTTTCAGCCAAGATTCATCTGACATCAAAAATGATATCCCTTGTTACACATCCTCTTCTGAATCCACCTTAAATTTCTGGTAGTTCCCTGTTGATGTACTGCCGCAACCATTTTTGAAATATCTTCAGCAAAATTTTACTTGCATGTGACATTAATGATATTGTTCAATAATTTCCCCATTCTATTGGATCACCTTTCTTTGGAATGGGCACAGATATGGATTTCTTCCAGTCGGTTGGCCAGGTGGGTAGGTTTCTTTCAAATTTCTTGGCATAGATGAGTGAGCACTTCCAGTGCTGCATCAGTTGGTTGAAACATCTCAATTGGTATTCTGTCAATTCCTGGAGCCTTGTTTTTTGC